ACTTAAATTCATCTATCAGTCAGAGGGGGTCACTTCTGGAACAGCCTCCCAACAAACATCAGGGAACGTCCCACTTATTGCATATTTGAAAAGCACTTTAAACTGTTTTTTAAAAGTTCCCAGTCATGCACTAATTAATTTTATTGTTGTGATGTCATTGTCTGAACGTGTGTCTGTGTGTTTTGACTGATATTTTATTATTTATTTATTATTTATTTTGTGATTTTGTGTTGTTTTGTCTTCCTGGCTCAGGACGACAGATGCGAATTAGCAACTATGCTATAATCTGGCTCATTTACAATCTGTACAGAAGTATAAGATTGTTCATTAATGTGCACTGTCCTGATTAAATAAATAGATAAATAAATACTTAAATTGTCATATGATTGTGATTAATGCTCGGTGACCACAGCGACCTGGAGAATAAGATAAGATAAGATAAGATAAGATAAGATAAGATAAGATAAGATAAGATAAAATGAGAGCTTTATTGATCTCACAGTGGAGAAATTCACTGGTCACACATCGGTTAGAGTTCAAAAGGAGGAAAAGGTGCATAAAGTCTGTAATAATATGTATAATGCATAATGTCTAATGTTTAAATAATAATAATAATATATTTAATATATTTTATGCACTTATTGTTATTATTACTATTACTTATTATTATTTATTTATTAAATATATTTTATGCACTTTTTCCTCCTTTTGAACCCGATGTGTGACCAGGGAATTTTTCCACTGTGAGATCAATAAAGCTCTTATCTCTTATCTTATCTCTTAAATAATATAATGTATAATGTCCCATGCCATCAAATGGCTGCGAACGGTGTTGAAATAATCTACAGGACTGTCTCAGAAAATTAGAATATTGTGATAAAGTTCTTTATTTTCTGTAATGCAATTAAAAAACATGAAAAGTCATACATTCTGGGTTCATTACAAATCAATTGAAATATCGCAAGCTTTTTATTGTTTTAATATTGCTGATTATGGCGTACAGCTTAAGAACCCCAAATATCTCAAAATATTAGAATATCGGATTTTTGAGTTTTGTGATCAGCTTTCAGTTGATTTGTAATGAATCCAGAATGTATGACATTTCATGATTTGTAATTGCATTACAGAAAATAAAGAACTTTATCACAATATTCTAATTTTCTGATACAGTCCTGTATATATGTATAATGTCCCATGCCGTCAAATGGCTGCGAACGGTGTTGAAATAATCTAAGTTTTGATCTGGTATCACTAAGTTTTGATCTGGTATCACTAAGTTTTGATCTGATCTCATCTTTCCTGAGACGACATCTTTCCTTTTCTCCATTCCCCAGCTCTCAGAGGCCAGGCGGAGGCCGAGGGCGCGGCTGAGGGGGATGGGGAGGACTTCCGGAGCACGCCGGGGCCTCAGCTGGCCAGCGGCGTCACGCAGAGGTCCAACAGCACGTCCAACGGCCGCTCGTCCCAGATCCTCTACGTTATCACGTCCAGCCCCGGCAAACCGCAGCGCAGCATGCCAGGTCAGTGGGCTGGACGCGGCCAGACCACCGGCCACAGCGCTAGTACGTCCACACCCCCCACACCCCGCACACCCCGCACCCACCAGAGATGTAGAAAGTACTGGAGTAGAAGTACAAGTACTATATAAAAAAAATTACTTGAGTAAAAGTTGAAGTGTTCTTTCAACTCCATACTTAACTCATTGACTGGCAGCCATTTTCAGAACAGAGAGTCCCATACTGCCAGAGTTTTTTGAGCATTTTGACTGATTTTTCAAGAGCCACAGAATAGTTTGTGCTATGACTATGTAAACACCAAACACACCAAAAGAAAGAGTAAACTCTCTTCTTTCATCAGGAAAAAAAAAAAGTTTTTACCTTATTCCGTTCTTCCTGGACTTGCGTCTCACCGGCGACATGTTCTCTCATAGCGAACCGTTACCTTTTTCTTATTTGCCTACAATCTATGCTCATCTCCC